CAGACCCCGATGGAAAGGCCCATTTGTCGTCGTGGAACGAATACTCTCCGATGGAGAACCAGGTGTCACGTACACGATCAAGAACACCCAGACTAACCGCAAACAAACTGTGCATTATAACAGGTTGAAACCCTGCTATACACGCCAGGCAGAACCTGTTGCCAGGACGCCGACGGCACAGCCAGATCGCGACTGTCCGGATGAGCAAACTTCTCAACCAGCAACGGCCACAACAGACACTACGCAACGTGCTACACGGCGTGGTCGACGAGTAACTAGACCGTCGCGACTTGCGGACTATGTCACAGAACTCTAGATAACCTACTACAGCTGTGAACTCTCCCATCAGACTGTTGCATTGACGATCTACTAGTATTTAGATTGGGACACGGAAAACCTGCTTCGCCAGGAAGTTAACTTTGACAGAGGTTGAAGACAAACCGTCTAGAACTTATACAGATTTTCTTTTTAATCTGTGTATCTTCCCTGTCAAATACCGTTATACCTTTTATCTAGATCTGTCAAATGTAACGTTACACTATATAGAACTATTTTTTTTTAATTATGTTTATGCTCTGATATGTTTACATGATATTGGTAAACTTTAGTGTAAGTCAAACTTCAGATACATGTAAGTTACTTGTTATTGTGATGACAGCTTTAATACAAGTTAAGTTTTATTCAGTAGTTTTATTCGTACTGTTACGGATACGGACTGTTCCCCGTTGCATTTTGTTATGTTGGATTACTATTATACTTATACATTGTTATATACAATTATATATACATTGTTATATCTGTAAACTTCAGGAGAAGTTTTACTTGTTGTAGGGGGGAAGAGTGTAAGGATCTAATATGCTGAACCATAGAGTCCCCCCTATGGGAATGGTATAACCTGCCACCCCCGGTGGCGAGTAGGCAAGTCCACTAGGAACCAGTTATATCCAGTTGAGTTAGAGTTACCCACATGTTCTGAAGAATACATACAGATCCACAGTACTCCACTCGTCTCTTCTGCTCATTCCATAAACCCTGGGATTGGATCGTTACACTAGGGTCACGAATTTTGGTTGGAAGACCTCCATTTTTCTCAGAAAGTGAAATTTTGGTACCTTGAACATTAAGTAATACAGTACAGTAAGTTGACCAATGGTTGTCTCTATGTTTCAGGTATGCTTGTACGGCATTTGCATTTGGACAGACAGGATCTGGGAAGACTCACACCATTACAGGGCCTATGACTATGGTGAGACATGTTGTGACTCTTAGCTCACTTTCAACCCTAATTATAGACAGAAATGTTGATTGTTACATTTGCATTGCAACATTGGTCAGCTTTACAGTTAATTATTGACATTTTGGTCAAGAATTTTGAAATTGATCGACAACAATGATAAACAGTAAAGCTGTGAGTGAGTTGAGCTTACATATAAATGACTTGCTCAACCTTTTCATGACTTTCATTGTTGCAATTACAATGTACCAGTATCTTTAATTCTGATGTTGTGATAAACTTAATATGTAACATCAACATTTTATGCCATTGCTTAACCTATAGCTTAGAGATTGCATCCTAACAAATCTGACTTGCCACATCCAAATAATTTTCCTTCTACTAAGCAATTTGCAGCATTGTAGTTCATAATCATTAAAGTTTGTGCTGGTTTTGGTTTGCATGCAAGACTGCATTTTATGAAATAATTTCTGCAGTTTTGATTTTCTTTGTGATCTATGCTGGCTTTTATACAAGACATTCCATCTTGCAAACATTGAAGCACATACAGTGGCCATACTGACAGTTTATGACTCTCTCTCGTACTTTCGGAGACACGCACGCCACGTGCGGTTCCGACGAACAGCGGTGAGGAGGCGACCGCGTTCGGGGTAGGTTTGCGTGGTGGTGATCGTCATGGAAACCCGCGTATACATTTTTGCATGTGCGAAACGTGTGGAAAGTCTCTTGCACTGCCCCCCCCCCATGTAACACTTTGCACTAACCCTGCAAGCATGTCATCTTTGCTGCCATCATCGCACTTCTGTCTTTCTTGTTGTGCTCATTTCATGGTGACAGTTTTTGTACTGTTCAAATTGGTGGAAATGTTTGTGACTGTACCGTTAGAATAGTTGCAATGTTGTACATACACAACTTGGCCAAGTACCATTGTCAAAAATTTTCAAAATCACTCCAGATGTGTGATGGTACTACTAAGATGTGTTCAATCTTGCGTTATCAGCCAATTTCTTGAAAGCATCCCATGTCACATTTCCAGAGTGATCTTTGACACTAGGGATTTTTGATAATGTCACTTGGTTGAGAATTGGCCAAAGTATGTGTGACAAAGTATCATCTGAGGCATATACAATGTATAAAGTATTTTGTAACAGTTGAAAGCATTAAGGAACTAAAGATGGGATGGTGCCATGTTATATTCATCTAAAAATAACATAACAGGTATCATGTGTGGGAGTTGGAAGGGGATGGTGTTAATGTTGCTTCTGGCAGAATGACCTTACGAAGATTACTACCAGTTACGATGTATAAGTTCTCTTTGATTCCAGTTTAAGAATTGATATACTAATAGTGTGCAAATCGACATTAGATACAATACATTGTATGTAACTGCATGCAAAACAGTGAATATTGATCTCAGAGTCCAGCATTATGATCCATATTATCAAAATTAAAATCATTTTGTAAATGTAAGAACTAACTTTTGCCAATTGTTGCCCAAAGTTGAAAGCTTATGTTCTGCTAACTACATGTAAAGGTTCTTTTGGACTAAACATGAATTTTTAAGTTTCTGTGGAGGTCAGAGGAGTGTTAAGTATTTAAGACGCCTTATTGTATCTGTTTCAGTTTGAAGATGACACCGTGCAAGATGCAGAGTACCAGGGTTTGATACAGCGCGCCTTCCTGTACCTGTTTGACAGCATCGGACAGCGCAAACGCCGAGACCCCAGCACAGTCTACACCCTCAGGGCCACCTATCTGGAAATATACAACGAACAGGTCTGTACATTTCACATCTAACCTAAGCCTACTGACCAGTGTTCAAGCCAGCATCCATATTTCCTTTGGAATTTTGTTGCTTATGATGGTCAAAAATTTTGCCCAACCCATCACCTTTGACAGACGAAAATTGGTGTGTAAAGATGTGGGATGTCATGAAACTAAGCTTGATCTAACAGCAAAATTTTCCTCTCAAATAGCATTTCAAAAGATCAGCATTAAATTTTCAAAATTTCTCGGGGAAGCATGCCCCTGGACCCCTCTATAGAATTGTAGCATTTTGGTAATCAACATGATTTTACGTGTAACAAAATCGAGATGACGAAAAAAAATATCAGGCTGGCTAGAACACTTGTCTAGTACTGCTACTGACTTCTACCAACTACATGTAATTAGTATTTGCACAGTTTTTTTTATCCGTAAGCTATAATGTTTGGGTTGTTTTCTGTTACTACGTAACCCCATTATTTGTTGAATTCATTGATCCAATCATCAGCGAATCATCAGTGTATGTGCTGATTGGATATGTGTACCCATAACAATATACAGTAGAATGAGAAGTCTATATGCATCCATTGTGTTTTTGTTTATTTGTTTGTTTTGCTGTTTGTCTCAGGTGAAGGACCTACTGAACCCGGCGGATCGGTCCAACCTGCCCGTGCGATGGTCCAAAGAGCAGGGCTTCTATGTGGAGAACCTTTTCTGTCCAGAGTTTGAGACTATCGATGACATCATGGCAGTGCTGGAAGAAGGTGATAACAGAATCTCAGCAACCTCCTAACTGCTGCCTTATTCCAGAACAAGTTACTGTAAATCACTTTATGTTCACGGTAGCAAAAGTTTGCAGTCTGAGAAAAATGGACGTGTTCGCGGAACTATAATGTTCATGGTTATCAAGAATATCGACAGGTTCAGAAAAAGAAAGTCAAGGAATTATTTGTTAACGGTAATGATAAGTTCACGGTACAGATTAGTGGCCGCGAAAACCAAACATAAAAGTACCCTGGTACTGCAAAAAAGGCAGGAATTACAGTATTCAGTTGGTGTCAAAATGCTAACTCAGAATAGAGAATTTTAACGATAAAACTCAGTTTTCCACAACAGCAGTACATGCGTAACTGATTTTTGTATATCTGTGAATAATTTCATCAGGTTGGGGAATGATTGAATTGTTATTGCAGTGTTCTTTATTCACAACCACTTGTTTAACAAGAGCAGACATTTCGATGACCACTTGTCACAATGGTCATTAGGGCAATTATGATTGGTTCACTCAGTGCAATTAAGCTAAGTGTCGCTGTTTCGCTCTGCACTGAAGCTAAAATTTGATTCAAATTTGATTTTTGTGTATTATTGACTCTTCAGGAATGCACAACAGGCATGTTGGTTCCCACAATCTGAATGAACACTCCAGCCGAAGCCACACCATGCTTACACTCAACATTGACAGTGAAATGGTAAGAGTGCTCAACTGTTTGCTTTTCATTGCCTACTATCTAGATCTCTGGACCATTTTATTACTGATGAAAAAGAAAGTGGATGCTACAACTAGTCAAGTATTTGAAACTTAGAAGAGAATCAACCTAGTTGCTTGATTTATTTTGTATTTACATAAGGTCATGTTGATTTATGTAAGGCCATGTTGATTTGATTATTATCATAACGGACAAAAATTCATATGCGCACGGATGTCAACACATGTTTTTGACAATACTGAAAACCGTACAAAGCTGCTGCAAAATAAGCAAATAAATGCCATACATGTAAATTGCAAACAAAAACTATTGGAAAATGATACTAAATGTGGTAGAATGCCAAAATCAACAACAATTTGTATTCCAATTATGGACTGCACCAGTCATGAAGTCATATCATTCTATATAGCAGTGAGCAAATATGACTGTATTGCATAATTATTAGATTAAGTATAATTCTATGCATTCTATAACTTTGATCTTGCACATTATTAGAGTGGGTTCAGACTCTACGGCTTGCCTTATACATGTGGTTAAATGCACCAGCATCAGAATTTGTGTAGCTGTCAGGTAATGCTGATCCCTGGCTTTGAGTCCTGGTCACAGGATACTAACATTACTAGCTGGAGGCAGTTTGGTTGTCCTTTGTTCGTTATCACTCTAGCGTTATTAGGTAGTAGGAGATATGTTATTTTCTCATGAGTATTGTCACGGGACAGTGGCCAAGTTGGATGGACCCATTGTTTCAGACTTTGGGTGTGGCTAACAGTAGCAGATATTGAAGATTCTTCTGCGAGGACAAACTATGAATCATTTTGCTGTGTGAAGGGGGAATTTCTCAACATTTAGATCCATATGTGGGCCATGTAATTGTATACTGATCATTGTGTACATGACAAGACAGTTTTCATCTAGAGCAAAAAAGGATTTATATAGATGACAAGTTAGTCAATGAATGCGGGGATTTGACACAAAGAACTAATTGAGTCCCCGGCTGTTTTGAAGCTCGGTCCTGCACAGTTTTTATCAGCTATCATTGTGTAAGCACCAATTTTGCTTAAGTTTTTTTTACATGTTTTCAAGATTCTTCTTGTATATAGTATGTTACAAGGTTTCCAAATTGGTATGTACAATTTGTCTTTTGTCATTCCCTAATTCCTACTAACTCAAGGAAATTGTGACTCAAGCAAGTCTGGATAGGTTTTAAAGACATTTCAAGTCCACAGACATTCTCTTTCCTATTGACAATGTCGTCCTGTGTTTTTTTTTTGTTCAGGCTGACCCAGACGATGACTCCATGTACATCACCAAACACGGTAAGATCTGTTTTGTGGACCTGGCAGGCAGCGAGAAAGTCAAGGAGTCCAAATCAGCCGGGGACGCACTCGTGGAGACCACAAACATCAACAAGAGCCTTCTGACTCTTGGAAACTGCATTTCTGCCCTCAGCGACCCAAAGAAACGCGGCGGACACATTCCCTTTCGAGACAGCAAGCTAACGAAACTGCTGTCTGATAGTCTAGGAGGGACCGGTGTAACTTTAATGGTTGCGTGTATATCGCCCTCGGCGTACAATGGCTCCGAGACGATGAATACTTTAAGATACGCAGTCCGGGCCAAGAGGATAAAAAACAAGCCTCTCGTGAGGATGGATCCGAGAGAGAAACTGATCTTGAGCCTGCAGAGAGAACTAAAGAGATTACGCAGTGAAAACGAGTATCTGCGAACGAAACTGAACTTCCCGCAGAGTCGAATGGGAATGGTGAACGGACACAGAAAAGAACCGCCGCAAGAGGACGAAGCGGTCAGACAGACGTTGGTCCGTCGCGACACGAACGATAGCGACAGCTTGTACGAAATGTTGCAGGAGTACATGGTTGAGAACGAGAACCTGAGACATGAGAATACCGAGCTGTTCACGTCGAAGGACCACATTCAGCGCGAGCAGGTGCTGCTATCCCGGGAAAACGATAAACTCGTTCAGAAGCTGGAAAACCTGGAGAGAGTCCTCGCCGCGTCCCCGCTGAGTTGGCAAACCTCGTCACGGCACAGCTCAGGTCACTCGATACGCAGAGATTCTGGTCACCGGCACTCGGCGCATTCCGAGGGACCGCCTGTTACGATGCTCTCACCTTTGACAAAGTCGCCGTTTGACCCACGAGAGGCGAAGAACCGGCACATGACAACATGGCCGCCCTCGCCAGAGCTGCAGCCAAGAATGGCGTGGAGATCAACACCACCCTCGGAACATTCCAAGGTGACTACTGTAATTCCTGTTTTTCTGATGGTACTTTTAAATTCATGTTCGCAGTTTGCAGTTTTCACTGTCACTTCTCTATAATTGTACTTTAATGTCCTTTAACATAGTAATAATTCCCAGACTTTCTTTTTTTCTGCACCTGACACCAATCCAGACTTGGTGAAATTTTGTTACCGCAAACATAAGTGAATTAGTATTTGATTCTTTAGAGTCAGCAGTCAACATAGACTATTCTTCAATCATCGACAGTTGTATTTGTTTCAAAAGTTAAAATATTGTGCAACTATAGGGTAATCAATTGCTAGATTCCAATGTCTAAAACAATAGTTGAACCTGCTTATCAAGCAGCATTATCCTGTGACTTCTCTTTCAGAATCATCAGAAGTATTTTTCACCTCTTTATTCTTCAGCAGCTAAAAATTACACTGTCATTTCCTTCCACAGGATGTGAGCCTGCCGCCGGTGGATCAGAAAAAGGGAATCCCCTCCAACTTCCGCCAGCAGCAGGCCCGTCCCAACGTTAACGCCTCCTTCCCTCCGTCCAAGATCCCCACCAAGAGCCAGGGCTTCTCCAAACTGCCGCACAAGGGCACAGAGGTCACGCCCAAGGTCATGGAGAAGAAGAAGGAAAAGAAGGCTTCAGATTCCAACTTAAAGAAGAGATTTATCAAACTTGAAGCATCTGGAACAACAGGGTCTTCTCAAAAGGTATAATTTCCTCTCTAACTGTATACTAGGGCAAATCCTGATAAAGCTGTTGATTTGGGAGTTTTTGCTCTCGGTAGATGTTTGTAACAAACATTCAATGTGTTTCTTGAGGGATTTGGTGATCATCCAAGTTTCACTGCAATACAGTAAAATGTTGATTCTACAGCTGTTTCAGTTTATTTGTTTTACCATTAATTACAGCTCAGGCCATTTTGGCCTGCTTTTCAGGTAATCCTGGATGAAAACTGTGGCAATGAAGAGTTTGATTTTGTTTTTCGGTGATGATTTGGAATCTCAAATTTTCTTTAGTTTAATATAGCAGTTACTCCAGGCTGGCGCTTTTCATATTACACCAGTCAATGAACAATCAAACCATGGAAGCATGTCTTGATTTTTCAGCAGGGAGGCTATGCGGAGCGGTTCCAACAAAAGCGTGAAGCCATGGGTAAGAAGGAGGAGGACAGTACAGCTAGTAGGGAGCCAGAGACTGAGAAGGAACAAGACATGAACATCGCATGGCAAAACAGGGAGGGCCAGAGGGACCAGCCTATTCACAGACATGGTCAGTACACTTGCACTGATGTCCCTTATCAAGTTAGCCTCCGTAGCAGGCATATAGAACTGGGGGTTTGGTGGTCTTCGGCTGTTTTCTGATTAGCCCAGTTCTAAATGAGGGTAATTCAACCAGGCTGGCTATGTTGTCTGTATGTAATCCCAGAAAATATCACAAGCCCCCAAAGACCCTGAGGACCCACAAAATCCCCAGTTTTTGGTATGCTATGGAGGCTATATCAAGTCTGGTTAAAGGGATTTTGTCTTACATAACCGGTAATGTTTCTCACCTGCTTACAAAATGTACACATTTCAATGCCTGTCAGACATCTTCCTCAGAACTTCTGACTGGAGTACTGCTTCTCACCATTATATAGCCAATGTATATAAAGGGGCACTTTATTGGGTACATATAACTGGCAAGAAGCAGTATTCCAGTCAAAAGCTCTGAGGATTCTTAGATGTCTGACAGGCATTGGAAATTAAGCTGGTAAGAAACACTACCAGTTGTGTGAGAAGAAAATCGCTGTCCTACCAACCCAGAGTTCGAAATACAAAGGTGCAATGTGCAAATTGCACGTAATTTTCAAGATTTGCACCTAAAAATATTTTGAATGTGCAATTTTGCACCTGGACAATACCGATATATCATGTTTGCACTGCGTATCTCCGAAGTTTCATGCTGTGTCGGCATCGCGCTGGGCGCATGGCAGCCATATTGTTTTCTTTACTGAACATCCTGGGAACAAGCTGCTCTCGTCCCCAGGTGAAGACGCGAAGGCATTACGTAATGATTTACCTAATATGGCAAGACGCGAAGGCCTACGTAGCTGATTTACCAAATATGGTGAGACCCGCGAAACTTGTTGCCCGATGTGGTACGAAGTCCTTCGGCAGAGTAATTTCGGCTTTTTCGTCCAATTTTCAGTAAAATTCGGTGATTGGGCCGGGGGTCACTAGCGGCGTCCTTTGAAGCTAATGCCGACAAATTTTTTTTTGTGTTCTTTTTTTTTATAAACACAGATGATACTTGCATTGTTCATGTTTTGTTTGGTCCCTTCTTTTTAATGTATACTAAAACTTCTATATGCAGTGGCAGGCTAAGAAGGTTGATACACAGTAAAACAGTTCCAAACCTAAAGATGCAAGGCTAAATATAATTTTGCACATAAATTTTTCAAATTGCACCTAAAAATTTTGCCAATGTGCAATTTTGCACGTACCTGAAAAAAAGTATTTCGAACCCTGCAACCTGATGAAATTCTTTTCTCCAGATCCTTCTAAAGGTTTAGCCAGTTGAGATTCAATAACTCGATTTCAGCGAGTTATTATCTGTCCTACGTATATATACTCTCTTCTATTTTCAAACAATGTCTGATAACATGGCTCTTTGATTTTATCTGAAAACATGACATGCGTGTATTGAATATGATATCATCCAGCCTGGATGCCAGACCCATAGGCCCAAAGTTAGCAAGCATGAGGATCAAGGCCTAACTGAGGGGGCTGTGGTATAATTTCCTTGGGGGTATGTTGGCCCTGGAGCCAAGGAACTGGCCTGTGTAGGCCCTTGAAACAGTCTGGCACCCAGGCTAACATAGTACTCTACTCCATTGCTTTGTGATGAGCCATAGATAATGATCCTAGTCCATCCATGCACCCATACATCCAGATAATGCAGTGGACAATCATACCCCTCCACATAACGCTGACAAACAGGGGGAGACCAATGATGCAAGTAAGTCATGCAGGATGTGAAGCAAACTGTCAAGCACCTCATCATGTGGACTATAGGGGGTGTCTTCATGTGGACTTGACCTAGAAAAAACATTAATCTATAATCACATTGACACCTGTGCTGTGCAATGTGAACCAGTCAGAATTGCCCTGAGGAAAGTGACAGGCGGTCACCAAATTGTCGGCTGAATAATCCTCTAGGTTGTAATTGTGTAAAAAGAGTCTCTCTAGTCAGTGACTTAGTACCAACCTGATGAAGCTATTCACAGATTCATCTAAAATGTACATTTAATCAGTTGTCATCTAAATGTTGAAACAGCAAATTGATATGAAGATAGTGGCCATTGAAATGGCCATTAAATTTTGCAGTGTCAGTTTACTGTTAATTATACCAGCTTGTCAAAATTTCAATTCAATTTATTTGCATACCGTAGTTGCAGCAACTACTGTTGTTTTCTCCAAGTCAGTGCAATAGGATCTGCACTAATTACCTCCATGGAGCTACATTTTGTATCTCCATGGAGGTAATTAGTGCAGACCTGCGGCTGAAATTTTCTACCTCCATGGAGCTAGCTGTGAGCAGTGAGTCAGCATAAAGATTACAAAGATTAACAGTGACTGTCTTCTCAGCAGCAATTTGTCCAATTATTTGGCTGGTAATTTTGTTTTCAAGTCCCACAAGATGACACGCCCCCTATCTTCCACATGAAGAAGTGCAGAATAAGCCTGCTGTTGCTTGCTTGCACTCTGCATGATCACCTCTCTTGCACCAGTGATTGTGTTCTCCACTCATACATTTGTATCATTGTCAAACACTGCTGTATTCACATGACTCTTAAACTAGTAAGTTTCACAGGCTTTGCACTGATATCAACATTTTCTATAAGGCCATGTTGATTTGATTACAATAGATGACATCCACATGCACATAAATTTTCATTCATTTGTAAAAAAAAAAGTTTTTGACCATACTGTAAATCATACAAGTAAAGCAGCTGCAAAATGAGCATATATATGCTATAGATTGTAAAAAAAAATATTGGAAAACGATTACCATACCAATGTCAAAGAAAAAGAATAAAATGTGAAGAAATTAAAATTATAAGTTAAGTCTATTATTCCCCATACTACACTCTGTGTCATTTGTTCAACCTTCATGACCACATAGATTTTATAATGAAAGCAACTTTTTTTTGCCAATTGAAAGTCTTTTATTTGCACGCTCGCATCAGTTTTTGTGTTCCCTTAGGATGTCATCCATATAATCAAATCAACATGGCCTTAGATATATGTCAGAACTGCACTCTATCGATCTGTGTGCTGTCGTTTTAAAGGAAATTTATTGAGCTAACGCACAGCTACATGTATCCAATACATGAGTGCAATCGTTGAAGACCATCAAAGCTGACAGTATATTCTAGACACATGCGCAGTGAGTAGTCTCCCTGCACATCTCAGGTTTTATCTGACATTCCTTGGGGAGATTCAGATAAAACCTGTCAATTCAAAGGTCAACGATTTTCATACCTGAATATTTGGGATTGTAAATTAAAATGAAGGAAATTGGCAACAGGCACAAGAGGCTAAAATTACTATTATTTCTTGCCAGAAAGTACTCTTGTTAATATTATGTTAAGCCTTTTATTTCAACGTGACAAACTCAGTTCAGTATAGGCACCTAAATAACCAGATTTGACACCTACATTGGTATATTGTTGCATGATTATTTCTACCACCTGTAATTATGTTTGGATGGCACTCCCACATTTTGTATTCTTATGGTATGGGAGCCAAACCACCATTTCTAAATCTTTTTCAGCATTTTAATTTGAAAGGACAAAAAATTTTAAATGGCACCTCAAAAAGATTAGTACCGGTAAATTAAACATAATCTATCCTACATGTACGCATTGAAAAACACATCACTACACGGGATAATATACAATATGTAAACTCACTTTCTTTCAGACTTTAACTTTAACTCAGCAATTAACTTTAAATACATACTGACCAATCCCTGAAGCTGTCACTTTGGCATTGTCCTAATGGCTTACATGTATATCTGTTCAGGATTTTCTAGAAGACACAACTAATGTCCAGTCAATGTCTTACAGGTCCTAGACAAAGAATAAACGATGCACAATTCTACACAACCAAAGATTCAGGTAAGAGTCATTCTTGTCTCTCTTTAACTTTTCAGACATTGCATGAATGTCATATGATGATTTTAAAAAAGACAGTCATCATCATTTTATAAAATGTCATTTGTCTAATGTGACCTAATTATGTCAGTTACTGTTGAAAGGGATTAAATTTTCTGGGAGCAAATTTGTTCAGTCATGTTTCATATAAATTTGTAACTGTTACATCAGTTCAAAATCCTTCAACCGGATACTAACTACTTGAAACAACCTGTCTTCTCTGAGTCGGATGGACATTTGTACCTTCTCTAATTTGTCTCTTGAGACCTATTATAACCTGGTATGACTGTTTCGCATAAAAGAGAAGATGATTCAACCTGTCCATCATTATTAGAGTGACAAGGAGGAAGATTATAAGGAGGGTACTTCATATTGATCATCAATCATATTGAGATCCCTCTGGGTAAAGAAGTACCTAGTACCTTCCAAGAATACCCTGAGCTCTAAGATCATCTCAGAAAGAGATCGTCCTGGTAAAATACAAACTGAAATTGAAAAAAGAGAGAGACGAACTAGAGACTTAACATTTGCAAAGCAAATACTTTACCTTCGGACACGGTCTGCTCTGTTAATTCTTACTCAAACACATTCACATACATGTACTACTAGTATAATATGGTGACAGGAGCAGACCATGAAATTGCAACATTACATTATGTAACCCAACACCAGTCACCATGGTGACAGACGTAGAAGAGGAGGAAGAAACTGAGCAAAAACAATATGTTTTCCTTCGGTAAACATAATAACGATTCGGCTATACCATCTGCAAATTCAAGCCGGTGGCTATGGTCAATTTTTCTGAAATTGCAAAATTTGCTTCAACATCCAATCTCTTTTAAAAAAAAGAAAAGACACTCTTTTTCACTGCGCATTCAAAGTCTTCAATGCAAATCTTTCTCCTAAATCAGATTAAAACCAAGTCTTAATACCAGACTAATGGAAATTTAATTCTCTCAATCAAGCTTAGTGAATAGTCTCTGACATAGTCGGCTTAAAATCTTAAGAGCTAATATTGATGAATGCTATATGAGGGAATTACTAGCCTGGGTACCATCCCCAGTAGTATATTCGCAAACTCTATAACTGGGTCTGGACTTGCACACATATGTAGCGTCTGGAGTCTAAATATTCGTTCAGATTTTGAACGAGCGCGCTGATTGGTCCTACTCGTCTAAGCCCTTTTTGGGGTATGTACATATTAGGTAAGGGCCGTTCGGACGTCCGAACGGCGACGTTAGCGTCCGTTCGAACGTCCGAACGCCTTATCATCAACATGTCCGACGGCGAACCGAACGCTAAAGCGCACATGATATAGCCGTAGTCAGTCTTTCCGCGATAAATCATCAACATGGCTGACGCACAAGCCGCTCATCTCACGGAGGTTGATGTTGACCTCGCAATCACGTCCGTTTTGGACGATTTAGACGGAATATCGTCGCTCAAAAATGAGCAAAAAATGCATTGAATAATTTCGTTCGTGATGTTTTGGGCGTCCTACCGGTAAAAAAAGAACGCACCGAGAAAAGGAAAACTCGCGCGAAGATCTGTGTTTACAAAACAACAAACATCACTTGAATAATGCAGGCGCGCCATTGGCCGTCGCCTCTGAGGCTCAGCCAATCAAATGAAGCCCCGCTGCTCGGGCTAGCTCATTACGTGACGTCATGACCAATCGTTTTATATGTGTGCAAGTCCAGACCCAGTTATAGAGTTTGCGAATATACTACTGGGGATGGTACCCAGGCTAGGGAATTACAGCATGTATCTGGGAATTATCTGAGTGCACCTGGAAAGTTGAATCTACATCCTTGTGACTTTTCGTGTTGTGGGATGTAAAACGTAAAAATTGGCAGCCGGTGTCTGGAAATTTTTTGGACAAAGGAGAAATTTTTCAAATTTTCTTTCATCAACTTTATAAACTATAACTCTTATCAAAAGGTTAGCATTACTTTTTTTTTTACTTCAGGTTTGAAATTAGTCATTAGGCAGGGATTTGGGAAATGAAATAGAACTAGCTACACGTATGCCTTTCCTTGTTGCGTAATATTCTTTTGTTCCTCTGTTTCTATCATGATTTTAAGTACAAAAGAAGCCAAGGATCTTCATTACTTATTCCTTTTACTCCTTGTGGATGTTTCTTCTTTTGTCAGCTGTTGCTAGCCAACTGTCTTCCCTCATTCATGCCCCCATAGCTCCTCCTTGTAGAGGAGTGACGAGTTTTCTCATTACATACCTCATCAATCATATTCAGCTGACACACCTCGCATGTCACTGCTGAGATGGTGTCAGTATTAATTTATGAGTGCTTCAGTTGTCCTTACAGTGGTGAATGGGAGATGACAAGGTTTCGTGTTTAGGAAGAACTAACCAGCACTCGCTACCTACCTATTAACCTTATGTTGTCTGTCCCCCCACCGACCGTACCTCACGGACAACTCTTAGCAGATGTCGAAGACAGTTAGGTGGCCTACACATCATTTTGGGGATGTTTTAGAAAGCTCACCTTTGTGGTTCTTGTGGTCACAGTGATAACAGTTGCTCACCTCTATCAGGAAAACATTGCACCAACATCAAACATAGTAGTCCTTGTATCATGTTTATCTATTGGCATGATATAAGGGCAGCCATTTTGGTTGGTGCATTTTTCCCATGCTTGGCTGTTAAGCTTATTAGCTTTAACTACAATATGCGAATCAAAGCACCTTGTAGACACATACATACTCCATAATGGGGGCTTGTTGTAGTTTAAGACTTTGCTGTCTCTTTTTATTTCCAGTCTTAGGATCATTGCAGGAATGGAGCAGGACAATTAGATAGTGCTTTGTGAAATCTGCACTGCAAGTTGTCTCTACATGTATGTCTTGATTGTAGTAAAGATATCCAATGCAATTTCAGGGTGGCAAGACTGAATTTTCAAAGTCAATTTTCTAGTCTCGTTTAATGTAGTAAGTTGAATCAATCCTTTCCCATAGCGTACGGATATCTGTGAAGCAAAAAAAGTCACTGGTGGAAAACGGTTGCTTGTTTTATATCGTAGGCCGATTCTAACTGTTTATGGGTAGTATCCAAAAAATTTGTTCGGGGTCTAGCCATCTACTTCAAATTTCAAGAATGGAATGATGGCAAAAATGTGCTAAGAAATAGAAGTAAGTGTCAGTATCAAACCAGACAGATCCTCATCAAGAATATTTTTGTTTTGCCACCCTGAAATTGCATTGGATGCCTTTAAAAGAATATTTAGCAATGTTTTTTTTTAATATCAAAATGGAAAATTTGTTCGCTGTGATAGTGAAGTCACTCTGAAGTGCGTCACTCTTTGTCCATCTCATTCCTGCACCTGACTCTTGCTGACCTTGAACTTTTGTGTTTCACCAGATGCCCTTCAGGACATGAATGCCAAGCTGCGTGCAGAGCTGGCCGACTTAGAGGGAGAGATCGCGAGATACAAGCACGTCGGCAAGCCTGCACAGGGAGGCAAGAAGAGATAGTACATGTCTGACCCAGGGGAGAGCAAAACATCAACAACAATTTGTTATTTCACTCCATACTATAGTATGGAGTGAAATATTGTTCAGAATGCTTTTCAGAAGGTGATACAGTGTGCCCAAGCAGTCCATATGGTGACATTGAATTTTCTGAAACAACAGAATAATGTATCATGGATAGCACTGACCTCTAGTAGGCATTTGCGCAGACTTGATCATTCTGCTATTGGAGCTGAAAGTAGCTGATTGAACTCATTCAGCAGTGTGGTATCAACTTTTGACTGCTGCCTCATTGAATTTTGCTAAAAGTGCAGGAACATCAGCTACATGTATTTGTGAGCCTCCAGGCTCCATCCATGCAGGAATTGCTTTCATCTTCACAAACTCACATTCATAGACTTCGTGAATTTCAGTGAGATTGTTTCAGTGTAATCTGTACCATGTAAAATTCTGTCATGTTGTTTTAGATGATAATATGTGACTGAATAAAGCATGGCCTTCCACACCATCTCTGCAATGCAAAGAATACATGTACTAGTAGTATGTGTGTGGCAGAAAAAAAGCAGTTGTCAGTCAGAGATATCAACAATTGGTCAGTTTAACTGATCATGTCTTGAAATGAGGAGCCATATGGGAGATTATGATATATAATTTTTCTTGAATATGGTAGAGCAGTATATTTCAAGACATGCTAAAGAAGAGAAACAATAAAATCTTTGGAGTCACAATTTTGCATCAATTGTAGCCTCTGCTCAATAAAAAACAGCAATGGCCAGTAGAGCTATTCCTACATGGTAGTCATGTCAATGTATACATTTACTATGCTGTAATCAAGTTTTGTAGTAATTTAGTGTACAAGATAATGTAAACAGTGTATATAGTTCCTGCTGCTGTTTTGTACATATTAGTTTTGTATCACATTATTGCTTAGGAGATTTTGACAAAACATTCTATTATATTAGACAGAAATGATATCTGTACAGAAGGTATTGTGAAATATGTTATACTTTACATGTGTTATTGAAAATTTCTTGATGATAATTCAAATTCTGGAATGTCTATCGTGCACTCTAGCTGCTCTTTTCCATTGTGCTTATCTCTCTGATACATGTGGTAGAGTCCAGCAATGCTTTAGCCAATCAAGGGAAGTTTTAGATTCAAGCAGACAACCAACCAGGCAAGCTGTTACAAATGTATGAAATTCCTGCTGGCTGACTTGTCCACCATTCCATGTAGTTTTCAAGTTTGAAGAGACTTAATGATAAACTGGTAAAAACACAACACATGTATGTTCATAGTTAATAAATCATAAAATATCCCAATCATTTACAGATAAAAAGGCATTCTCTGTTTGTGAAAAAGAATGTTACTGCATTACAGATGTAGGGCCTGCACATATGTGTACTCAGAAGATGGCTCTGTCCTTGGTACTAAAACTGTCATGTTAGTGCATTTAGAACATTCAGTGGTCTACCATATTTCTTAGAAAGAAAGACAGCCACTACAAATGTTGTATGTATTTGTGCCTGTTTGTCAGAACACATGCATTGCTAAACATTTTGTCAAAAGTAATGACGGAACACAATTAATTGCAGATAGTTTGGTATGTGATGCCAAAAATTACATGTACATTATCTGGTGTATCTAGTCAAAGTCCAGTGTCAGCTTTGCAGCACATAATTATGTGGAATGTGGTCAACATTGGCAAAGGCAGGCTAGACTAATAGCTGGAACAGGGTTTATCTTAAAGTTTACATTTAACCATTTCTGTCAATTTTTACTGTGTGTGTTGCATATATACCTAGGATCCTAAATGACTGTTTTTTTAAGGCATCAAAGTTTGTGACCGGTATGTTTACAGTTTGAAACCATACAGGCCTAGCCCTCAAGCACGTACACCTTTAAAAAGTATCATTGCTGCACTTTCATTGGCCAGCCTTGCTGTTGCTGCACTTTCATTGGCCAGCATTGTCAATGGAGTTACCTCACCAACCAATGAGCATGCTCAATTTTTGAGATATGAATTATATTGTTCTGGTGACATATTGTTAGTATAAATGTGTTTTGATGAATTCTTATAAACACTGATTGGCATACAATACATGTAATACTTATCTGTTGAAGGTACCTATATGTTGATAATACTTGTCAATGTGTTGTAAGTATAGTCATTGCCCCTAGAATTGGTGTGACAATTTTACTGCACTTAGGTAGTAAAATTGTGTGAAATGCACCTAAGATCTGTTGAATTTTAGTGTATTTCTGACAAAAAGTAGTTGTATTGTGTATATTTGTCACCTATGTGTACTGAAGCCATTGCACCTGTTCAAGCCATCAGATGTTTGAGAATTGTGCAGAAAATTATATTTTCACAAAAGAAAAAAGACGTCGTGTTGTTATTCATACTATATGTTACAGGTGAAACCTGGTAAAGGTATATCCCAACATATAAATCTCAGTGTATCGAATTTCTTGGCTCAACCCAATGCTCATGGCAAATCATATAGGTTTTAGTAGTTACAAGACGTTGTTTTTTTCCGATCAGCACCCACAGTAACATCAGGTGCAGTTCTACTTTGTTCCGCTATGTGGCGTCCTTGCACGGCAGTGAGTTGGGAAAGAGACTTGAATGAACAAGAGCTTACTCCGGGCTCATATAGCTTGATTTTGGGCTCCTTCAAGTTTGAAATGATGACGAAAATGTAATATGAAATGGCAGTAATTAAATGTCAATATCAGATAGATTTTCGAATTCTCATCCAGAATATTTTTTTGTTTGGCTGCCCCGATATGTACAGACATTTCGGCACCATGCTTTACACACTCTACCACTACTGTCAGACACATTGACGTCAGAACATTCCCCCTCGCGTGTCTACTTACAGTCAAACACTCTGACGCATAGAAACCACAGAACAAAAGGTTTCCGGTACTGCGCACAGAAACCATAGCGCTGGCTTCTGATGAACTTTTAAATTGATCACGATTCGCACGACCGCCGTCAATCATGTAAAACAGTCTGTTACATAACATCAAGTCGTTTAATCTTTATACTGAGTTTCCTTAAATTCGGGTAGGGTATTGAGATTGGCCAAGGTGTAACATATAAGACCTTAGTGGCGTTTTTTCTTCTTCTTTGTTGATGTTGTTGTTGTTAGTCATCCTTAGGCTACACCTCCTTAATTTTATGGATGACATCCTCTGAAGACCCCCAAACTAGTGCGCGCGGGCGAATAAAAAAATAGGCCAAAAATAAAAATGCTATAACATGTTAGTATTAAACCACAGGAATACAAAACTGGTATTGTGAATTTGCGACAGTGCATAGCGACGTTATACGACAAGCCGGCACATGCTGGCTTTTGCGGAATTTATGAATCAGCACTGAGTTCTTCAGTCGTGGAGCTTCGGTAGCCTGGGTGCCATCCTCCAGAGTTACCACCGGCTCCGTATTGTCGCTAACTACTAGGCCAGGCAAAGAGCCAGGCCAGAGCCTCGGAGGTCCGAGGACGTGATCTTGGAAATGGTGAGGCGCTAGGCATCCAGTGCATTTTTCGATATGAACAAGGCCACCCGGCAACGACATCGGCCCCCTTCAGGGTCAACGCTTTGATCAGTCTTAATTGAAGTAATATTACTATGTAAAGTCTGAAGGCCACGAGCGATACCATGACACAGGCCTTTTTAAGTTGGACGCGTCCATTTTCTGGTGGGTGTAAAGAGTGCCTGGAGTTATGCTACGTTGAATTTTCCCTTCACCATAGATGGTATTAGGTTATTTTTGTGCCGTCAAAGTTTACACAAATTAAAAGTGGCTAAGTTTAAAATCTGTTTAATTTCCGTGTCTTAGTCAACCGCTGAACACATGTGTTACTAAATCTCCACTCCCACCCCTGTAACATAATCTAATGGTCTGCCTAATTACACAACTTACGTCCAATCAGATTCCTGTTTACTTTTACGGCCGACCAATCAAATCGCCGTTGCTACCGCCGGCGACGGCGGCCATCTTGTGCAACAACAAGTGTCAGAAAAGGGGGTCTTATTTTTCTAGCCTTGAAGGGGAGAAATGCCAAGTTTGAGGCATTTCAGCAACCTTCCATGGTGAGATCTCATTTTCTTACGACTGTCCTAATTACCGGGACTTTTAAGTATTTATTATATTGTACATCTAAACCTGTTTTGGAGCGTTAAAGAGACAAAATTTACTCGTTTTTAGGGTGGGTGTAGCCGTGGCGACTATTGATTCGGGCTTACATTGCAGCTGAGGGTAATGCAATGTAAGCCCGAATCAATAGTCGCCACGGCTAGGGTGGGTGGGGGTTTAGCTATACAAAACATTCAGCGATATATTCACAGTTTACTCTAAGGATTGAATTTGTTTTGTTTTCGATCAGATTGCTTCATGTTGTAAAACGTTTATGTATGCCCATGTTGCTGTTTATGTTGCTACATTTCGTTGTACTTGACGATATGTGGTGTGACAAAGAAGCCCTATGACTGTGTCGTTAAAGAATGTGTTGTTTTTCCTGAGAGCAGGTGTTTTAATTCTCTTTAATTACACCACATGATTGCAGTTAATGAGTGTTTTATAGCAGAGTTGATTCTTATGTACACAAACCATTGGCTTCTTTGTCACGTACAACATGAATCTTTCAACTGCGTTATCCTTTTGTTGCTCTTTTTGCCAAACTACGCAATCTTTAGAATCTAATGACGCATGCACACCTCACCAAAGGGTAAAGACAGGACTGGTGTACTTTAAATCCAGACAAGACAGAATGTAAAATATGCCGTATAAACTACTCTTATGTTGCCCAAAATGTTGTTATTGTTGTTGTTGTACTTGTGTTATGTCTAATATCTCGCTAGACAAGGTCTCTTGGTGCGTTGGTACAGTTGGGAGTCAAATCTAGGTATTTAACTCTTGGTGCAGCATGAAAACAGACATTTAAGCAAACTTTCTGCAATATGTAAAGAAGTATTAAAGGTGAGAAAATATTTCAGTAGACTTTACGACTTCGTAAAGGCTGCTGAAAGGTAAGTTCCGCCTTTCCGTCACCTTTCAGTTTATCTTAAATACGACGTAAACATCTTTACACTTCCTTTAAAAATCCGTAAATATGCATGCGTGATGTAACCCATTTGTTGTTGTGTTGCAGATGTGAGTTTAAGGACTTCAAAGTACCATTTCTCCATAGAGGAGGCTCTGCAAGATAGTGAATGTGCTTCTTTCATGAGAGGAAAGCAGGAACGAAAGAGCTGGCAGCCAAAAAACCAAAGAACATAACAACAAGCTTACGTTAATGTGTATGCAAGAACAGTAGATTTCCCTTACTGCGAGCTAGATTTGCAACTGAGCTCTTACAAATACTGTGCGGCGACGACAACAGCAAATTTTCTCACAAGTATGTACGATGAAGGGCGCTAGTAAGATGCCCACTACCAGAACTCCGTCAGGCCGCACGGCAGGGTCGCGACCCCTGGGGTCCACGCGGCACTCCCAGCCTCCCATGTTCCCTCCAGTCGCGCAGTACAAACTGAACAGTACGCGGACACCGCCGTATTCGCCGCGGTCCATGCCAAACGGGATTTACGGGATCGGGATGGGCCTTCCCGCGGACTCCTCACCGCAGCCGTCCAGGCCTCCAACAGCCAAGCAGGAAGTACGGATAGAGGAGAGGATCGTTTATGTAGAGAGGGAAAAAGACAACACTAGGGAGAAGGAACTTCTGGTAGGTGTACTGTTCATTGTGTGGAAAACTAACTGAAATTTACTTTATGTTCACGGTAGCAAAAGTTTGCAGAGAAAAATACGTAGAGCTGTTTTACAGAACTAAATGTTCGCAGTGTCAGCAGGTGCAGAAAAAAGAAAGTCAGCAAATTATTTGTTAGTGGTAATGATAAGTTTGCGGTACAGAAGTGACAAGAAAACACAAAAGAGGGTCCTTGGATTCGAACCCAGGCGGCCAGCTTACAAACCCAACGCACTAACCGCAAAGCCAAAAGATCCGGACCTATTGGACTGGTCAGTTGGTGGCACTTGAAACCCAGTGTTACACTGCTCCCCCTTTTACTTTATTAAATTCGTCCACAAATCTCTGAGAGCGATATACCTGTGTGGTACATTTTTGCCATCACTCACAGGGAAAGTGTTTGTTGTACATTGTGTCTGGACAAGTAAAATTGTTACACATTGAACAGCTTTTTATTTCCTTAGAAATGTTATTTTATTTCCTTAGAAATGTTATGAAAATTTTGTCTCAAATTCACAGGAGAAAGAAGAAAAATACAAGCAGAAGATCAGCAAGTTGGAAAAGTTGATAGAACAACTGAGGACAGAAATCAAGCAGAGACAACAGGACATCGATAATCTACAGCAGCAACTAATATCTAAGGTAAAGTTGCTAGTGTCTTTCTTTACTGTAGGTACAGTATGACCAGGACAGATCATTTAGCCAACATGCCACAGAAGCCTTGATTGTCTGCTCCAGTCTTTGCTTATTACTGAATAATGGCATCCAATGAAATTTCAAGATATATAGCAAAACAAAAAAATATTCTAGATGAGGAAATCTGTTTGATGTTGACATTTACTGTCATTTCTCAGCACATTTAGTCCTAATTTTAGACTTACTTTAAGTTTTAACATAGCCCCAAAACAAGCTAAGTTAGAACAAGGACATTATATACTCTCTGTGCAATGTCCTTGGTGTTTTTTGGCACCATCCATAGCTAAATAAGCCTACGATATGAAACAATTAACCGTTTTCTGATACTAGTGATAGTGACATCACATTAATTTTTGCCTCACATATATCAGAATGCTATAGGATAGAATTGATCCAGCTTACTGCATTAAAAGGATGACCAGAAAATTGACCTTGAAAATCCAGTTTTGCCATCCTGAAATTGCATTGAATGCCTTTAATGTTTAACATTTCTATCCCTACATGCACTATAGGCAGAAGAGTATCAGAATGAGTTAGAGTTGGAGAGACAGGCCCACACTGCCACCAGACAGGAGCTGGACAAGGTTCGAGAGGAACTGGCACAGAAGGAGGCAGAGATACAGGAGATAAAGACTCTACATGAGACAGAGATGGCCAGGATAGAGGAACAGGTAAATACACAAACAAACAAACAATTAACCATGCTACTTAACAGGTGGTTGGGCTTGTGAAACAGGTTGATAAATAAAGAAACAACATAATAAATGTAGGAAAAACTGGAAAAATAAATGGCTTGTAAGTTGTAGTACAATGTATGTTCTTTTTTATATTTCTTGGTACAGGAAAATAGGGAATGCAACACTGTTTTACTGGCATTTATTTTGTATTCAGCGCAATGATTTAGGCTTGTTTTTACACTTAGTTAATAATGCAATGATAATGATAAACTGGTTTGTGTTATGATAGCTTCAACAGAAGATAATGATGATGATGATAATGATGATGATGGACTGGTCTCTGTTGTAGCTTCAACAGAAGATGACAGAGATGCAGGAGACCCATAAGAAGGAGCTGGCTTCTCGAGACGAGGCACTAAGGAGGCTGAAGGAACACATGGCCAGCGCCCTGCAGGATAACTCCAGGTAAAACTCCTTCTGACATTCACAAGGAAATTGTCATTCAAGCAACTGGATAGATTTTATGTTACATGTAGCTGTTTCAAGTAGCATCATCTACTTTTTTTGTCACTGATGGAATGTAGCAGATGCTACTTGAAACTGTCTGACATTAAATCTCAAAATCTATCTAGTTGCTCGAGTAACAATTTCCTTGTGTACCTCATTACCTGGATGTCTAACCTTCATTGACATATGTCCTGATACTAACATACCAGGAAGGCTAAAACGTAAAAGCTCATTAGAAAGATTTCCTGCATTGAATCTTTCCGAAGTCTTAGGAAACAACAGTAAAGTAAGATTGTGTAGCATTCCTTCATGAAAATTCCATCATGGTGTTCCCAACATATTAACAAGGCAGTATGTATCAAAACCTGAGAGGAATGAAATGAAATATTTACCTTCTTGACTTGCAGTGAGAGACAACGTCAGCTAGAAGAGCTGACTAAGGAGCTGAAGAAGATGTCAGAAGAGACAGAGATGCTGAAGAGTAAACTCAAGGGAATGATCGCCAAAAATAAGGTAGGAGAGAACGACTTCCTTATTCAATTTACAAATGATTCTATTGTAGGAGGTGGGGCCTAGGAAAATAAATACTGTGTTTCCAGTTTCCCCGACCGACCCTAGAAAAAACTGCCGACCCCAGCCTTCTTTTGGGTGGATCCCTGCAAGGGACATAAATTTTTCGAGCTGATCAACCTTTTCTAACTCACTGATCAATCTGACACCGGAGTGATGAAATCGGTTTTGCAACATTGACATTGAAAACAGAAGTGTGCTCATGCAAGTTTTACTTTGTTAAACTGTACTGTATAAGTTGGATCACTAGAGATTGTCAAAGTCTCATAAAAAAGAAAAAAAAAAGATAATCCCTACCTACCGACCCTAATTTTTTCAGGACCGAAACAGGAAACACAACATTTTTTCTTTTTTCATAGGCCTGGCTACAAGCTTAACAGACTTTAGTATCACATTAAAAGAATGACCAGAAAATTGACTTTGAACATTCCAGTTGTATCGCTGTGAAAATGTAATGGATGCCTTTACCCTAACCCTCCCCCTTCCCCCAGGGTCATGACTGTAAGAACTGTGCAGTACTGAGTGAACAGATCCAGACTAACCCTCCCCCTCTCCCCCAGGGTCATGACTGTAAGAACTGTGCAGTACTGAGTGAACAGATCCAGACTGACCCTCCCTCTCCCCCAGGGTCATGACTGTAAGAACTGTGCAGTACTGAGTGAACAGATCCAGACTGACCCTCCCTCTCCCCCAGGGTCATGACTGTAAGAACTGTGCAGTACTGAGTGAACAGATCCAGACTAACCCTCCCCCTCTCCCCCAGGGTCATGACTGTAAGAACTGTGCAGTACTGAGTGAACAGATCCAGACTAACCCTCCCCCTCTCCCCCAGGGTCATGACTGTAAGAACTGTGCAGTACTGAGTGAACAGATCCAGAAGATCCAGCTGCAGCTCAGGTTAAAGGACAAGACTATAGAGGAGAAGGAGAAAGGCCTGCTGGAACTCAAGCAGCTCTGTATCAAGTTTGAGAAACAACTCATGCAACAGGTGGGTAATGAAGATTGAGTAGAGACAGAAAATTGAACATTTTGAGAGGCAAATCATGGGGTTCAGAGTGCTTGTCAGTGGTCCTTTGGATGTTTTTATATTTTTACCTGAGATATATTTTATTTTGTCCATCAAATTTGATGGATTGATTTATGTGCATTAATACATTGCATATAAGTGGAATATTGATGTCTTATGCACAAGTTTGTTTACTTTTAACCTCGCGCTCTTGATAACTCATATACTAGTAGCTGTTTATGAGCAGCTGAACTGATGAGGTTTTTCATCATTTTCATCTTGTTTTAGTGCTTGCCTTGATTAATAAAGAATCTAATGATGTTTAACACACCTGTCACACACCAATAAGTTCCTGCAGTTGACAGAAAGACTAGAGCCTTGCTTCACAAAAAGTTTTGTGTTTTCTACAGGACAAGCTGCTACAGGAGTGGCAGGTGTACTCGGAGCTGAGTGAGAGAGTCAGGAAGTGTTAGACAACTTGTACATTGTACCTACATTGTAAGGCTAGCTGCCACAGTGCATTTAGTGTTTCCTATAGTACCCATGCAGTTATGCAGTTAAAATTTACACTTAAAGGGACAGCACAGTAAAAGAAACTTTTTTACCAAGGGCTTTCCAATGTATTTAGTCTTCCTGGAGAGTTTTTAAGCCAGAAGAATCAAAGCTTTTGCCGTACATTGATTGATCTCAGAGATTCTGGGTTGTTCTTTTACTGATATTTGTTTTTCTAGTCCTCCGTCCCAACATTACTTTTTTTATGATTATCATTTAGTAAACCCCTGAAAACTCAAATGCAAGGATAAATATTGATACATACATCCTTTTTAACAAAATGTCATATATTAAACATCTTCTAGCAGTATTTGTATTCATAGATGCTACAAGGATCATTGTGGAAACATACTTGGTAATTGAGCAACAGCTGAGTTTAGCTACAATGCCAAAGTGAACAGTACTGAATGATATGTACATGTGCATGTATATACAATATCTAATGCAGTTGGGAAGTTTTCGATCATGTCAAACCAGTATTAAAGGAGACATTTAAAGTTGATAAGACCATAAACTCTCATCAGGGCAGCTTAGAGAATTAAGTTATCTAGTAAAGACTGGAAACAGAAGTGTGAAAGAGGGAAGATAATCATAGTACTAGTAATAATTAACAAATCTCAATATTTTCACAGACTTTGAAAAAGCTATCAAAGTTCTTCTTTGATATAACATTAGAAGAGCTCTTGTACCCCAAATATGTGTGTGCACAATTCAAATTGAGAATATATTGATCATGCATTTGAACTGATGTACATGTACCATGTAGACTATTGTGAGATAGAGCATGGAGGTAGAATTCTACCTCCATGGATAGAGATACGGTATTGTATTGTCACAGGTTCACCTGTCGCAGTATGTTTGTAGACATTCATGCATTTAGACAATCAAGTCATACAAAATGCCGTTGGAGCAAATATTGTATTGCAGTGTTGTGTGTTAATTTTCAAGAAAATGAAAAGTAAAAAAAAAATTAGTGAAATTTACACATGCTGAGCTTTGTACAATATGCAATATCAATATAATCGCTGAGGAAATGAAAATAAAACATGTATTTTTGAATCCATTTACTGTCTGAAAGTCTGCTTTTTCTGTCAATGTTTTTACTATTGATACATGTATCGGATGATTGAAACATGTATGCAAGGACATGTACATGTCCATGATGATGATCACACAAACATAACCTTCTTGGCGAAGGTAATAATTTCGCTAGACGGCGCTGCTGTACGGCATAACAATCATCCTGGGAACGATACTCAATGCCTGTTGGATGGTTCCAACTATCATCTAGTAAGGGGTGTGATTTCACACCATATATAATAAAGTTTCGCACATGTATGAGCTATCTACACATTCTTTCGACTACAAATTTGCACATATTATTGTAATCAATATCATGTGAATTTATAATTAGTTGTCAAAGATGCCTGAATAACTGAAGTTAGAATTTAACATACCTCCCTCTTTCATTATGGTCTCGTCCATTTTAGCGCGCAAAAATTTGTTTGACAAACATGGCGGCCAGAAAGAGTCTATGAATTTTGCCGGTCTTGAAAGCGGGAAGAAAGGTAAGTCAATCTTAACATAGTTAGCCTAAAATCTAAACCACTATGTTAAGGAAATAATGGGGATTGTAAGAAACCAAAAAGTGCAACTTTAGGGAGTCAACAGTGTGGAAAAATGTGATGTTAACTCTAGGAGGGAGGGGGGCGAGAGATCTTACCTCGACTCGGTTTCTGCCGTCTATGTGATAAATACTCGCTTTCTTGTCCGCTCAAAACTTCTGCAACTTAGTACAAGCCTTCCTGTACGCTTCGCCGTCGTTTGAGTCAGCGTTGTTACAGACTGAGAAAACGAAATTCGGTTGTGTCTGCCTCGCATGCCCGGGCTTGCGCTCGAAGTAGGCTGACTCAGCTCACCGAGAGCGCGCGAGTTTCTCCCAAATCAAAACCAGATGTGCGCTAAAGTTATAATTTCCGCACAAGTAGTAGTCTCCTCCAGGCCTTCCTACGGGGGTTCGGATAATGGTCAAAAAGAGGAAATGCTGTAATTCGCCAGGAGAGTAAGTCCGCGGGAGGGTTAATTTTCCCCCTACAGCGCGGGCAAAAATGAACTCGTCGAGATATCGGTGGCTAAACTCCCCTGGCAAATAACGTTAATTTTATTCTCCCTATCCGGCTAAATTTAACTTATTTTGAACCCGCGTTGTTAGTCTTGTGGAGACCACACAAGAAGCTCCAAATGGTTCATTTTACCGGCTGTACTCCAAATAATTTATGGTCGCGAAAGTAGACAGAAGCCACATATGGGCTGAGTGTTGTTGTTGTGTTAGTTGTGAGCCGTCACTGCAAAATGTCGGCTGAATAAAACACTTGGTCGTGGATTCAAGACAAATAGTTTTTTCCCCTGTAGGAATAAGGTGTGGACTGTATTACTCCTACAGGGGAAATCTATTTGCCTTGAATGGATTATACGATTTATAAGGCTTAAGCCCAACACAACAACAACAACACTCAGATATTCAGTTATGTGGCTTCTGTCTACTTTGCACCATTTAGGCCATGCCAATTTTTTTACCCTGTCACTTCATATTTTTCTGGAAAAATCTGCAAACCAACAAATTAAATTGGTGTGGCCTTTTCAAGTACAGTAAAATAGTAATAGTAGTCGAAGCCCTCACTCTGAGGTGCTATTACAAGTTTAGTGGTACAAATATAACACTAGTGTAATATTTCAGCTCTAGCTAGTAGTAGTACACAAGTCATAAACGTTACACTAGTATAGCCTCCATAGCATGCCAAAAACAGGGTTTGGGGGGTCTTCATGATCTTTGGGAGCTTTTATGTGCTGTTTTCTGATAGCATATAGACAACATAGCCGTCCTGGTTGAATTACCCCCGTTTTTAGAACTGGGCTAATCAGAAAACAGCTGAACCCCCGATTTTAGAACTGGGCTAATCAGAAAACAGCTGAAGACCACCAAACCCCCATTTCTATAAGGCTGCTACGGAGGCTAACACTAGTACATTGTAAACTTTGTGCATGCGATCAGCCAGACATTATAGCATTAGTTTCACACTTACACAGGAATCAGGATCCTGTTTTATACATCAGATTGAGTCTGCTGCCCCAGTTGGAACTTGTTGGAAGTATTTCTCATCATGGCGGCAAACTGTCGCCAACGGTACGTCTTCCAACTGTCCGGCTTCTCTGGACAGGAAAAGGACGATCTGACTTCTAAGATACAGAAACTCAAAGGAATCTGTCTTCAGGAACAGGTAAATTATATTATTATAATTATGAATTTTAAAACTTCACTATATCTACAGTGGTTTTGTCTTTCTCCGTACAGATAGTGTTAGAAACTTGTAATGGAATTTATGTCAAGCTTCTGCAACAAATCTCCTAGTCCATTGTCTAAGTTGGTAATTTATTCATTCACACATTGTACTACATCATAGTACATGTATTATTTGTCATACATGTCCATGTATGTGTCAAGTCTTTTCAGTTCACAGGTCTTTCATCCAACACAGGGTACAAAGTACTGTATTGTCTGGATACAGATGCAGCAACAATTGAAATGTAAATGTCAAGTTGAATGCAAATTGTACCTGTCTGGAACACACCTATTGACATGATAATTCTCGGAGGAGTCACTATCATGTCTGTATCATAATTACCATGACAGTAGCACATGTGGCAGGATCTTTTGTCTATTGTCTTACTACTAGTACTTCTCACCTAGGTGTTAACCTTTAGAGTGCTGTTTTGTTCTCCAACACATAAGTGTGTTAACCCTCAGAGTGCTGTGTTATTCCCCAGCCCTACAAGCCCAGTTGTACCCACATCATCTCCAGTAAACCCTGCAGGAGTGAGAAGTACCTGGCTGCTTGTGCTGCAGGTGAGGAAGTTTTTATGTTTGTTTGTGCCTTTATTTCACAAATTGCAAAAAAAGTTATCATTTCAGTTTTCAGACATTTGAACATATATTTTCCTGATGTCCATGCATCCGAGATGCAATTTCAGGACTGCAAAAGCCAAAACTGAATTTTCAAAATCAATTTTCAGGTCTTTCTTATCTGTGATGTAAAAATATAATGCTGAGTGCTGACAAAAAACAGTTGCTTATTTTGTATCATAGGTTGGTTCTATAGTATTTATAGGCGGTACCCAAAAAATATAGGGATGTCTCATGTAGCTTCTTTTGTGGCTATTTTAAACACTTCAACAAGTATGAAATGACGACAATGTACTAAGAAATGGCAGTAAATGTCAATATCAGACAGATTTCCTCATTCAGAATATTTTTGTTTTGCCACTCAGAAATTGCACTTGTTGTCCAACAGTTCCATATATGTGTTGACAAATGTTGGTTATGAGAAATTATTGACCAGTGATAACTTCTCCAGGAAAGTGGATCGTGACGAGGAAGTTTGTTGACGACAGCACCGCGGCAGGGCGGTGGTTAGACGAGAGTTCTTACGAGTACGGGCACAAGTCCATGCTCCAAAAGACCTACTCTGTGACCCTACAACAGGCACCTCGGCGCTGGAGACAGAGAGTCGCTAAGGAGAAAGTCGGGGCGTTCGCCGGATGGCGTTCCATCGTAGTTGTGGACGACCAGAAACGTAGAGCAGCGTACAAAAGGTACACCAATTGACACTTATGTTATTGTTTTCTTATTTTGTTGTTGTCAGTATTGCTTCAACCAAAAATGGGCTGTGTCTGACTGCTTAGAAGTTTTTGTGTAATATTTTCATTGGGTTGAAATTAGTACTGTACAAAGACATTACTATCTCTGTATCAGTGTTCTAGCCTGAAATTTTTTTGTCTGGATTTTGTTGGACTTCGAGTCGAATGCCAGCATGAAACAATTCTGGGGGAGTCTGGTGGCATGCTCTGTGAGGAAAATTTTGAAATATTGACCCTTTGAAATGCTAGTTCTAGAATTTTGAGGGACAAATTTTGCTGGCCAATGATGGCATTTCTTTTCATATTTTCACGTGCAGATTTTTGTACTTTTATATTTGAGGTTTTCGTGGTCACTTCTGTACCACAAATTTATCATTACCGTGAACAAATAATTTACTGACTTTCTTTTTGCTGCAACTGCCGCCACACCAAACATATAGTTCCGCAAAGATGTCCATTTTTCTCGGACCACAAACTTTTACTGCCATGAACATAACGTGACTTACCTACGAGTTACAGTAATCTAATACTAGTAGTAGGTTATGTACAGCCTAGACAAGAATTAAAACTTTCATAAGATTTGATTTATAATTGTGTTTTACTGTCCCTCCCAGACTGTTGTTAGCAGGAGGTGCGACCGTACTGAAGGCTAAAACAGTAGCCCACAGCCAGGCTGTCTACGCCCCACAACTCACACACGTCTTCCTGGAGAAGAAGTATGACTCTTCCTTCCGCCTGCTGAGACGTCGAGGTGTCCTGTGTCTGTCTCCTGACTACATCGCTGAGTTTCTTCTACGGGTGAGAGAGAAAGGGTTTTCTTACAAAAGTCAAAAGTAGAAATATTGAAAATTTTTGTTCTATTCATGGAGTGATGCCCAATGCAGTTTTTAGGGCGTGAAAACCAGATTTTTCAAACTCAATATTCTAGTCACTTACACTGTCCCAATGTATATATATATATAAATTTTCATGGAGTGAATATTGTGACAATTGTGACAGGCTGATTTTTTGGGGAACTACCCAGAAAATGAAGGACTCACATCTTGGGGCTTGTTTCTGCACTGTTATAAATGCCCAACATATGAAATCAATGCATTTACTACTATATGTGCTAATGTGGGGTTCAGGTCCAGATTCAAGTCCAGAGGTTTAGGTTCAGTTCCGGACTTGTAAACCCATGGCATATACAAAATTGCATGTTGGCAACCTCGCAATGTTGTCTGGGTGAAACTTTGGCCACATAACATGGAGGCAGGTACTTGACGATGCCCGAAGGCAATGTTTTCTTCATTTTGCAGCAAAGATTTTGCAATCTACGGAAGGTTTTAGATGGTTTGGAAAGAAAAGGGGTATGTAAAATGGTCTTTTATGCTAATAAGCCCGGACTCGGTTCTTGACTTTTAGGTTTTTTTGGACTTGAACCTAAACATTCTTACAAGTTCGGATCCAAGTCCAGTGAACCGGTATGCATCACTAATATCAATATGATACAAAGTGCCTTATTCAGAATATTTCCAGCCTTCTGCCATGAAATTGCATTGGATGGCATGCTGTCAACAAAAGAGAAATAAAAGTTTGTTTTGTTTCTGTCTAGAACCCTCCTGCGGAGCCAGCTAAGTTTGACGTTGGAGTGTACGCCCCCTCGTCACAACGTGTTTCAGCTTCTGATGAGAGCACTCAATCCCCCGGTGTAGCCACCAGGAATCAGGCACCCAGTGTGACAAGTAAAGGAAAGGCGACTACCAGGGATACAGGTATGGATGGAGTTGAAGATATCTTCATGATGTAATATTATAGAATACAATGATAATGACAATGAACTTTATTGCATATTCATGTCCAACATGGGCCAAATGCACTAAGTTAGATAACTGAGGTACAAGGACCAACATTGCTGTGCTACGTATACATCTATATCTACAGGATCTCTTCTCCCTTTTTGAAACATGTACAATGTTTTTCATTTACATCGTAGTTCTTGGATGTCATAATATGTTTGAACAATGCTATTTTTGGTAAGTACATATATGTTAAGTTTAATATCTCTCAGTACTGTAATTTACTTTATGTTCACAATAGCAAAATTTTGCGGCCTGAGAAAAAAACTCAGTACAATTCAGCTTTTGCTGCAAGGCTGATTTACCCAGTGTTTTAACTATAAACCAATTACTAATACATGTAATCATAATAATGATAATAAATATTTTTCTTCCATTTCCAGGTTCAGCAACCAAACCCTCTACTCCCAAGAAGAGCCCTCCCGTAGTTGAGATAATGGGAAAAGTTGACATCATGGGAACAGTCAAACTCCCAACCCCAAACAAAGTAAAGACAAGGTCTTCTAACACTCCAGAGAAGGTGAAGAAATGGTCTTTCCCTACTCCTGAGAAACACAGGTCCTTTTCTACACCAAAGAAAGACAAGAAAGGTTCCTTTTCTACGCCAGACAAGAAGAGAAGGTCTTTCTCTAACCCGGAGAAAAGGAAAGAAGGATCTCTCCTTCCCATGCCAGAAAAAGTCAAAGCATCTATCCCCACCCCTAAGAAAATGAGGACAGGGTCTTTCCCTACCCCTGAGAAAGTGCAGAGAGAGTCTATCCCCTCCCCAGTGAAGATGACGAAGGGTTCTTTCCCCACCCTGGGGAAGGCAGCCCTCCCCACCCGAGGGAAAATGCCTGCTCCCTGCCTGCCACAGTTGGAGGGCTTGAAGAAACGCCCCCTACTGGCTGATAGTGGGAAGGACAGGGACATGTTGCAACTCCTGGCTTCTAAGAGAAGGAAGGTCAGTTTTGATGATTTTTTTCTTCATCCTCAGTATTAATGTAGAACAAGATGTCATTATGATGTTTATTTTTGCCATGCACAATAAATTTAAGGTTCCATGTGCAACGGAAAACTGTTGCTTGTTTTGTATCATAGGCTGATTCTAGCTATTTATGGGCGGTACCAAAAACAATAAAGAAAGTCCTCATGTAGCTTGTTTTGGGGCTTTTTCAAACGAATGAAACGGTGATGAAAATGTGCTAAGAAATGGCAGTAAATGTCAGACAGATGTACTCATCCAGAATATTTCCAGTTTTGCCGCCCTGAAATTGCAATGGATGCCTTTAAGCACATGTACCTGTAAAGTATATCCATAATATATTTTGTACATACTCATTCTTACCTTTCCTGTCCTCAGCTGGATGTACCTGGAGCCTGTTTTCAGCCTTGTTTTCCTGTCAACAGCAGCAAAAGCAAGCCAACAAAGGTAAACATGATTCACATGAGTCTTAGTCGCAATGTCAGTTTCCTTTGGGTGAATAACGCGACCAATTGGTTGCAGTTTGGGTTAGAGAAATGGTCAGCTTAGGCAAGTCTCTTAATGCTTATGTCTATGGAGAAAATGTAAGTTAAACAACAAAGAATTTATTACTTATCTGACACTTAGATGTCAAAATATGCTACATATGCTATGAAATGTACACACATTCGATATCTTTACATACGTAAGCCTATGAAAATATTTGAGAGAAGAAAAAAAAGAAAAAAATTGGATGCACAGCTTCAATGCACACAATATTGTAATTCACATCATGTTCATGGTCTGAGAAAAATGGACATGTTGACGGAACTATATAGTCACGGTGGTGACAGGTGCAGGAAAAAGAATGTCCAGTCCAGGAATTATTTGTTAACTGTAATGATAAGTTCACGGAACAGAAGTGACAGTGAAAACAGTGAACATAACAGTACAGTGAAAAAATCAGGGATTACAGTATTTCCAGCCCTTACAGTATATTTTGTGTCTCAGGTGTCCCAGCGTGTCCCCCGCCCCCTTGGTCCGTCCGTGTGTGCGTTAGTAGAGGTGGCTCTAGACGACAGTGCCTACCCAGCAGCCCTCAGCCTGCTCCAGTCCACCCTGTCCACAGTCCGCTATCCACCCACTCACATCACACACAGGGTCATGGCTGAGGCTCTTCTGGTGAGTACACTTGTTTGTTTGTTTGAAATAAAAATAATATAAAATAAAAACATGCATTGTCATGGTCATGGTGACGGTGGTTGCTGTTAGGGTTATTGTTTGCATGGCACTGTCATGATTTCATGATTTTGAGGAAGCCTGTTACGTCTAGACAAATACAGTGCACTACTCCCCGAGTGTATAGTGAATGAGTCCTGGGGTCACAGAAGGTATGGCCATTCGGGGCAGACGGATTTTCCCAAGGGTTTCCAGGAATGTGGGCATAGATGTGCAAACAGAGCTGGGAGACATTCCTGTGGACATTCCATGCCTGTGGACAAAATACCTGTACAATTCCTAGAATTCTTGCAAATTGCACACAATACTGTACCATTAGCCTCCTCCCTGAGATGTCACCAAAAAATCCTCGTACATGCAACAGTGTCTTCTTCCCACAGCAAGCTGAGGATAGTCAGGGAGCGGCCCAGGCCTACCAGATGCTGAAACAGATCCAAACCTTACACCCGCCCTCCCGCACACCTGCCAACAGCTACCTGTACCTCAAGGCACTCAGAACACCTGTACTGGAGCAGGTGGAGCGAGTGAAGGGGAGAAAGGGAAGAAAACAACAGCAGCCGGAGGTACAGAAGGAAGGAGTGGAATGGGACTTTGTCAAGATGGTTATAAGGTAGTCAAACTAGTTTTACTTCTGAATAAAATCAGAAATTTTTCTGTTTTAGCCCTATCTGTTGAACTTTTTGAATCTTTTGTTGTGATGTTTGATAATTATTCCTAAAGCCCATTACATTTTTATTTTTGTACCATAGTAATTCAAGAATGTCGGCAGAACGTACTGCACCTGTGCGAAACCCGTAATGTACATAGCACTTCGGCAGAACATCTCATATAAGGTCGTATTAGCACATATAAGGCTAACACTCTGTAGTTTCCAAATGTTATGTTGGAAAAGATATCCCCTGCAACAGGCAAAATTCTGGCAAACATCCAACGAAAACCGCGAAAATCCAGGGTTCTGCGCAGGCGCAGTACGTTCTGCCAATGTGCTAGTAATTCATAGTCTTTCTGTATTTTTGCACCATAGTAATTCAGAGTCTTTCTGTTTTTGCAGAGGTGCTCTAGGTATGACAGACAACCAGACATCAGAAGAAACCAGTGAAAGTCCCCTGTACCAGTCTAACTGTGCACTACTACTCAAGTTCCTGGTATCTGTACTGGAACAGGACTTCATGGCATGGTTAGACAGGTAAGACATGTTAGATAGTAAGGAAAGTAATGGTAGTTTGTTTTAGTAAATTGACATCGTTGAATTTTGGTGGCTTTCCAGTCTTTAGAGTTTTACAAAATAGATAGCCAGGGTTTGAAATACCACCTGCATATGCAGGTTACTGGTTAGTGCAGGTAAAATTTGAATTGAGTAAGTATTTCTTATGTCTACCTGCACCTAACCTGTACTGGTCCATGTACTGGGTATATGCAGGTTAGTGCAGGTGAAATTTGAATTGTGCAGGTATTTCTGAGGTCTAGCTGCACTGGTCCTATTCATGTGCATGTACTGGGTTTATAGACAACTCTAAGTATGTCTAGATATGTCATCACCTGTGAAGTGTATAAGAAATACAGGCAATGGTTTCTGAACAGATTTTAGTATGATCCATACTTCTTTAATCTTAGTTTCTGAGTGATGCAGATAAAAAAGAGCAGTTTCAAGAAAGAGCAATTAATTTTCGAGAAAAAGCGGTCATTTTGGCCAAAGGTGGTCACTTGGGCAAGTTTCACTGTACTAGATAGATTGAAGTAGTCATTCATGTAGTGACTGTAAGTCCTGTTATTCCCCCATAGAGACCATCAGAAGTCTGGCGCCCCAGCCTGTATCCTGGCCTCACTCCTCTGGCCATCAGGACACTGTGGGGTCATGAGCTCACACGTGAGAGACCTGGTCTCACTACTGTTCCTCAGTCTGCAGAAACAGGACAACCAACAGGTAGGTTGTTACCTCCATGAAGATTGGAGGTATTGTTTTTGTTATGTCGTCTGTGTGTGTCTGTATGTGTGTATGTGTTTCACTGTTCCACAGTGTACAGAAACAGGACAACCAACAGGTAGGTTGTTACCTCCATGAAGAATGGAGGTATTGTTTTTGGTATGCCTTTGTGTGTGTCCGTATGTGTGTATGTGTTCCACATGGCCCTTAGGTCAGTATGTAATGGATATGGTTGGGTTCAGTCCGTTCCAGAGGGAGAAAGTCATTAATCACATCTACATCTGATTTCTCTGATGGTTTTTGTTACATGACCTCCTTGATAGCTGCTGTTAATTTATTTGCCTTGTCACGATTGCACAAGATTAGATATTTCTTGGAGGTCTGAGGTCTCTGAATTCTTGTGAGCCCTACAATTACCAAATAAAATGTTGCTGTGCAAGCCAAACAATTTTTCAAAACTATGTTAAACTTGAGTTGTAAACTTGTTATTAATTATGTCCACAGGCTGGTGTGGTGTGCCTGGTGCAGAGCCTGGTTGCCATGGCAGCAGAGTGTTGTCAGGCAACAGACCAACAGGTAGACAGGATGACGTCACTGACTGAGAGCTTCAGTGTGGGCACCAGTGTGTGTAACCTGGCACAGGAGATAGCAGCTGCTTGTCAGAAAGGTATATTGTCTTTGTTACCTCATGCCAAGAGAGTGTAGAATTGTTTTGTGTTTGTGTGTGTGTGTTCATCTGTCCTCCTGTTTCAGTCCTGAAAAAATTACTCAGTTGTCAGATCATAGAGCTAGAAAAGGTTGATCAGCTCGTCCCTTGCAGAGGTCCACTCCAAAAAAAAGTCTAGGGTCAGCAGGTTTTTCTAGGGTTGATCGGGAAACAGGAAACTTTTTTTCGTAGGCCTTAGTTTTCTTGACAGCTTGAAATTTTTTCTGTCATCTCAATTTTGCTTCACATAACGTCGAGTTGAGCGCCAGCACAAAACAATCCTGGAGTTTGCTCCCCTTTAAACATTTTGAAATCTTAAGCATCTGAAACACTGCATTTCAAGGGCAAATTTTGCTAGTAGACTAAAGTTTAATGACATCTCTAGCCATATCTTAACACGACAGTTTTTGTCTGTCAAAGATGACGGATTGGGCAAAATTTTGGTCCATCACGAGTAACAAAATTCTGTCAAATGACTGAAAGACAGATGCTGGCTAGAACACTGCACACAATGTAGAATTGGTTGTACGTTCTCAATGCTACTACTTTTGTCTTGTCTGTCTGCCATTTTTGATTGACTTATTGGAATTACTGTGGTTGTGAAAAGTGAAATCTAAGGTAAAAATTGCAACATTATGTAACCCAACACCAGTTACCATGGTGACCGACATCAACAAATCAGGCCATTGGCCAGGTCAGAGGTTAGTGTTTGGAACAGAAGAAGAAGAAACGTAGTAAAAACAATATGTTTTCCTTCAGTAAACATATTTAATATGCAAACCATCACCAATCTCTCTGTACGTCTTCCCACACAGACCCAGCCAACCAAACCAAGACTGTCTTGCACCGCTTGTTGGAGACCCTGCAACCCCCTTGGCTCAAACTGAAGGTGGCACAGTCCTTGCTAAGTTGCTATGACGACAGCCTGGTTGCTAAGGAACAACATGGCTTTCACAAGAAGCCCCTATCACTTAGGAGAGTGGTGAGTTACATTACACATGCTATGCATTAATAAATGTAACGTTTTGATAAAATTGACAACTTAACTAGTTAGTACTATTTATAGTCGCATTGTGCAACTTTAGGACAATACAAAAAGTCATATTTTCTGGTCATTGTTACTTTCAAGTAAGTTGAATGAACCTTATACTCCATTGCAAATATGTGCCATTCAAAAAGTGGGTGTACTAAAGTATGGCACCTTATGAGTGTATTTAAAAGCTGGAAACATAGCTCACAAACTGAGTGCCTCGCATTGGCTGTTTAGCACTAAATACCTTTCTGAAATGTGAGATCATTGTAAGAATATGTTAATAAAAAGTGGAAGTAAATTATAATGAGAAAATTTTTCAATTAAACATTTTTAATTTTTGGTGCAAAAATGTTACATGATGCCCCTTTAATAGATGCCCCTGTGATTTTTTTTATCAAAATTCTGTTAGGAAAATTATCTCAGTTCAAATTACAACTTTGCCCCTTCCAGAATGTCTGTCTTAACTACAGTTAGAAGTGTAACCAGAAGTTTTAAGTTTTTGTTCGTTCTCTTGTTCTCCCCAGTTGCTGTGTTACATGTACCTGGTTCCCAAGTCACTGGTCGGCAAACAGACAGCTCCAACAACCAAGGGTAAAGATCAGCCGCCACAGGAAAACCCTCCCACTCCAGCCAAGGTCAAGGTGGAACAGGGCAGGCTACTGAGGAGGGGCTCCAGCAGGGGGGAACCTCTCAGAACTCTTGTGTGAGTTGGGTTATTACTTTACTGATGGTCCTTTTTAATTAAAGAAAACTTCAGGGCTGTAAAACAAAAGATATTCGGGGTGGGGAAATCTGTCAGATATTGATATTTACTACCATTTCTTATCACATTTTTGTCACCATTTCATACTTGTAAGTGTTTCTGAAATGGTCCCAAAACGCAAAGTTAGGTGTTCCTTCATTACTGCTCATAAATCCAGCCTATGGTACAAAACAATCAACCGTTTTCCATCAGCAACATCGCATTTTTGCCTCACAGATATCAGTATTCTATGGGATAGGGTTGATTCAACTTACTACATTAAAAGAATGACCAGAAAAGTGATCTTGAATATCAAGTTTTGCTGCCCTGAAATTGCAGTAGATACCTTTAAGAGAAACCCTAAGGGAGCACTAGATAGCTAAAGATCTAATTTAGTGTGTTAAAAGGTTAGAAAGGAAGAGATCTTTGGTACAGTGCTCATGTCAAACTGTCATGTCTTCCACAGGGATGCTAATCATGTGAAGCAGCTCCCAGTGGTTGCTGGGAAGAGAAAGGGAAGCTCCACCCCTGAGGCATCGCCAAAAAAGAAGCCAAAGCTGCAGGTGAACAGAAGAAATGTCAGAGGTGAGTCATTCACAGGAATGTCTCAGAGAATACTAAGAAACGGGTTCAAAGAAAAGGGAGAAAACAGTTTGCAGATATACTCCAGCTCTTTCTAGGTGCATTTTTAGTTTTGGGTGTGTCTTTCTCAGGAATGTTTAAGGGTATACTCAGAGAAAGAGTTAAACTTTAAAGAAAAGTGAAAGAACAGTACACAGATTTTTGTTGAATACTCCAGCACTTTCTAGTGCATTCTAGTTTTAAATATCTTTCATGTTGACCTACACCCTGATTTACATTTTATGTTGCAACAAGAATTCATAGATCTAAGACCTCTGTGAAAAGTCTTCTGTGACTGTGTTCTCTTTTCATTCACTATGATGTCTACATGTCGTTCTTTATCGTGCAAGGGAAACAATGCCAGCAGTCAAGGAGGTCATGTAACAAAAACAGAAAAAAAACACCTGTGAAAACAGCAAGCACTACTAAGTGCAGACATAATTAATAACTTTCTCCCTCTGGGCCTGAATCCAAACAGGTTCAAATTTGACAAATTGACATAAGGGCCCAAGCAAAAACACAGACATACATACAGACACACACACACACATACCAAAAACAATACTTCCATTCTTCACTGAGGTAAAACCTGACCAAATTTCTGTTAACTAAATTTAACCAAATTTCTTTGACCAAATTTCTGTTAACTAAATTTAACCAAATTTCTTTGACCAAATTTCTGTTAACTAACTTTGTTGTTTGACTATTTTCAGGAGAGACCCAGCTACATGTGGCGTGTATCAAGAACAACGTGACCAGAGTACGTGACCTGTTGTCGGTGCCAGGGATTGACGTTAACGCCCAGGACTACGCAGGCTGGACACCCCTGCACGAGGCCTGTAACCACGGACATGTGGAGGTGGTCAAGGAGCTACTGGCCTTCAAACCTCAACCCAGCGTAGCAAGCTTCTTCACGGTCAAGAACAAGGGTACGGCTGGAACATTATTATTGTCAATTTATTCTTAGGCAACACCAATTTGATTTGTTTGGTCTCTGATTTTTCAGAAAAAACAGTGACAGGGAAAAAAAATTAAATAAAAACAGACCTAGGCATCCCGTGATAACCCCAAATGCTATGATAGGAGTCATGAAGTCAACACAAAAGGCGGGAAAAACACTGACAATTCTAAAGAGAAGGGACTTCCTTCAACTGTTGGGGCCAAAATACGAGCATTTTGGAGTTGATTCAGAGGCTGAAATGTTGTTTTTTTTTGCAATCAGAAAAGATGTAGCAGGTGAAGCCTTGAACCAACAAATTAAATTGGTGTGGCCTTATCAACACAGTACTTAACTATTTAAAGAACGTTGGTCAATATTCTTTCTAAACAGTGTTTAGCCAGCCAGCTTTTTTTGGCATCTCAGTTTTGTTTGACGTAACACAATGTCAAGCAAAAGTGCAACAATTTGTGGGAAAATTTGGAAATCTTGACCCTCTGAAACATTACATTTTGAGAGGTAAAGCTGGTAGACTAAGGTTAAATGCTATCTCTTTCCATTTGGATCATATGCCAAATTTTGTCTGTCAAAGATGACAGATTGGGCAAAATTTTTGCCCATCATTAAACGCAAAATTATTTGAAATAATGGAAAGACGTACACGGCCTAGAACACTGCATGCCTGTAATTCATCCATCTGTACATTTTTATTTCCAGATTCGCCAGTGAAGATGTCGTCTGCCCTGGACCTGCTAGCAGCGCCCCCTGACGGCACAACGGTACTGCATGACGCTGTGGCAAACGGACATGTGGCAGTCGCCACAATGCTCCTGGAGGCAGGCGGTAAGTTCTCTACGGTTTCTAAAAGTTTTTCTGTGATTAGACCGACTTTGGGGGTAAATTTTGCCTGGAAACCATTCTCTTTTATTTGTTGAAGAGGCAATGTTGATTTCATTATATGGAAGACATTCTCAGGGAACCCAAAACTGATGCAAGCATGTGAAGATAAAAAAATTTTACCCCAAAAAAGTTGCCTTCATTATGAAATGTGCGTGGTCATGAAGGTCAAACAAATAACTTAACACACAGAGTATAGTATGGCGAATAATGGACTCTTCATTTGCATTTCTTCACATTTTCTTCTTTTCCCTTGGAATTGATTTTGGCATTCTATGACATTATCCTTTTCTAATATTTTTTTTGCATCTCACGGCATACATTCAATTATTTTGCAGCTACAATTTACAGTATGGATGAAAAAATTATACAGTATAGTAATATGCAATTTCATGCATCAGCTAACAGTGTGCTTTTTTTTCAGGCAAGGGACTTTTGTCCAGAAAAAATGCCAACGGACTGACTCCCTTTGACTTCGCTGTCACTGAAGAGATGAAGGCAGCCCTCCAGGCCCCTGCAAACACAAGGAGGAAACCCCAGATCGCCGCAAACAAGAACCTAAAGTACGCAACAACTCCTGCCGCTCCGAAGGACACGCCGAGCGTACCAAACAGCAAGGGAGTCGGTCAGAACATTGGCGAGGCAGACTACAACAGGGTGTTAGAACGCGGGACGAAACGGAAGACGACCAACGAAGACTGCGAGAAGTTCGCCACAATCGTTTCTCACTTCGTACGAGCGTACGTCCGCGTCGAACAGCTCCAACCAATGAAGAAGCAACGCGAGAAGCAGCTTGAATGCGGTTCCAACAATAGCGGCTCGACGACAAGTACCCAGAGTTCTGTCTGTTCCTACTCAAATGGGAGATTCAAGGGGGCAAACACCTCGCCAGTCTCACCTGTAGTAGTGTTAGAAGACATCATGCTGAAGATTAAGTCAGAAGGAGTAAAGAGAGTAGAGGAAGACCTTACCTCGTACATAGACATGGACAAGCACTTACAAGGGTACGAGAGGCACTTGAAGATGCTCACAGGACAGAAAGAAGAGATGACAGACTATTGTAGAAGAAGTCTCACAGAGATTCGCTTATGTTCATGAGATCTATTCTGTCAGATGTTACTGGAGCATACTGAACAGTATTATTGCAAGCTGAGGTTTTCCAAGAGCAGTTATATTGTGAGAAGAAGATTCTTAAGCTCTCGCAATTCATGACTTAAACAGAAGTATGCGAGAAAGTGCTTTTGGCTTCTAGAATATGGCTGTGAGCAACACTTTGTTAGTAACAAGGAGAACTGTATATATTGTAGCATTTAGGACAACATTATTTATAGTAGAAGTACTGAGTAGAATAAGTAGACATGCAGAAATTGCTTATAGGCAGATCAACTATTACTAATGCAATATTTATGCATACAATAACATATAATTGCCAATGGAGTATGAAAAGGCTAACCAGCAATATATTATTTTGCATGACCTTTTCCTTGCTACAGGGCAACTTTGTGTTGCTTAAATTGATCAGCCAACTCCATTTGGTAGAGGGTTAACAAGAAGGAAATACACCCTCTCTGTACTACATTATTGTTAGTTTTTTAATGTTACGGTAGTAGTTTATGAGGTTTTATGGATTTTAACTTCTATTTCAGTCAATTAAATATTGCATGCTTCAGTTTCATTTCAGTTAGGTGACAATGGCTTCTGCATCATTTAGAGTTTTTAGAGATAGAAACAATTGGAAAGTCATGACATGTTCTGTTGTTATTATCATCATTACTATTTTGGAAGAATAAAATGTTCAAGTACTCAGCAGTTTTGTTGCTTTTCATTGGTGAACTGTAGTAACAGTAGTAGTGGTAGTGATATTGATTAGATATTGATTATGTAAATGAAGACTTAATTTGCATAATTAATGAGAAAATGTTATAATTCAATAATGGTAACTCCCTGGAATTTCATACTTCAGGTATTTGAAAGTTAAGTGAAGGTAAACATCATTAAGTATAACTTATTCAAATAAGGACGTCATTTTCATAATTTATGAGGAAATGCTACAATGGCATTCTTTGTTTAGACAAGACTCTTGGTGGAGAATATGATCAACTGATATAATTCACGCAAATCAGGATCCTATTTGCATAATCAGGGGAAGTAATCTATAATTTGTCAGTCATAAAGATTAACATCATTTAGCGAAGGTATGAGATCGTGGAGCTCTAGTTACGTTAAAAGATTGATCAGAAAACTGACTTCGAAAATCGAGTTTTGCCGCCCTGAAATTGCATTGGCTGCCTTGAAGCCGTGTATAGCCATGGTCAGATGTCTCGGTGCAATGCACTGTCACATACGCACGAGTGCCCAACCCAACCCAACTATCCCTGGGCACTTACTAGTATATTAAAACTCAGCTACAAGCTGTAATATGAAGCCGCTAGTGTGACGTGACCCTGTCATAGAAAATGGATGGTTTATGGCCAAGTGTAATAACTAGAAAGGTAACATTTGCAAGCAAATGCAATATGTTTACCTCAGGATGGTCTTGCCTACGATTTAGCGTTATACCTTTATTGGGAAAGGATGGGTAGAAGGATATTTTGCTTATATTACTGACTTTTATGTACTGTTATTATAGAGTAACATTAACGTTATAACTGGGGAATTTCAATGTTTTTGCCGTTGTAAGGCCAAGTTTAAAATCTGCCGGTCACTTTAATCAATGACATTCTCTGCAGACTGCAAGTAAACTTCAAGTCTTTTTGACAGCTTTAATTACAAAGGACATTGTTGAGCTCGTCTCATCCTTATTACATTTTTGTAAATTAGGAAACAGGACGTAGGCTGAAATAATGATAATAAGTTAATTATTATTAGTAATATTACAAATACATGGCAGAAGGCTCATAGTAAGTACGTATATCATATACATATAATGAAATGATATACAATGATATGAAGAACTAATTCCTACAGTACACTTTAGTCTTTATACTACAGTACATAAGATATATATCAAGCCAGTTTTGTTGGGTTTTACTTGTTCTTTTGATTGCCGAGCCAGTGAATTATACCCACTTCTATAATAAGTGTTCTTTGAACTTTTATATGAAAATCATTGCAAATGATGATGAAAATCTACAGTTGTGTAAAATATTGGAACTACACACTCTATAAAACCATACATACATACTTAAAAGCTATACATGACTTACATATATTATGCAACTTAACATACATATTTACTGGCTAAATTGGAGATATAATGTGTTTCTAGAAATGGTTGTGATGTGTTGTATCCTTCTGTGGATGGCTGGGTTCAGCTCTGTTGGGTTCCTCTCCAGTTTCTCATGGACCAAGTTCTGCTTCCTTTCCTAGCTGAGGTCCAATAGGTCCAATCTTAAGAGGATACAAAAAGGAGAGTAAACATTTCAAAAGTGAGCAGAAACTGATAATATATGTCTAAGTCATTGAACCACAAAAGGAAAGCATAATACATATGTATACAACGTATAACTATATCAGGCGGGGTCCAAGAAGGTATATAATATATGTCAAAGGGGGTATGATATATATTCAAATTTTACAGCAGACCAATTTGTTAATACAGAGAACACTGTTGTCTGTATGCAATTGAAGAATAACAACGCAAGCATAATACTCAAGTTACAAATTTAGTGAAACCAGACGTTCACATATTTCTTCATATACATTGAAGCCCCAACACTATTTATTCTTCTGTCAAATTCCTATAGGCAATTATCCTTATTATGAGAGATAACTTCACAGGATATGCATCATCGGGATGTGGAATTTTTCGGGATAGGCGTCCCAATAAATCCCGCGAGATATCCGCGTGTCCTGCGGAGCGAAAAAACTTGATGCGAGATCTCCAAGTCTACTGCGGGTCCTATTACGGATGACGGCGTCGAAATGTCCTGCTTCCGGCCAATGGAGCACCCTGACGTCAGTCAACTTTGCCATAATTGTGTATAATGTGTATAACGCGTTCCTCAAGCGGTCATAGTTGAACTGCTAAATTTTTACAAAGCTTTTGTGCAGCGAAAAACTCACAAAAACTGTAAGAAAATGAATGAATTTGTAGTAACCCCTTCGTCTCCAGTGAATTTTTCGGCAAGTTTATAAACAATCAATCTGTCAAGTTTATAAAGTTAAACCATCAAATAAAATGGGGCGTACCGGCTGGAGTTGTTGTGTTTCATTGTGACATCTCGTGAGCGTCAAGTAGTCTCTGTATTACGAAAAATTAGGAAAGTTTGCCCATCAAAAATCCCGGGGCGTGCGTCTCACCCCTCCCCAAAACACGTACACATAAATAAACCCTTGCGTCAACAACCGATCCGGCTACGTCCATTCACGTACGTATTACCCTGAAAGCAAGTACTTCCACGCGGCTGGTAAAAATTCTTCCGGTGGAAAAAGCATTCTAGTTCTCGATGTCACTTGTGAAAAACGTTTTGGGATCGAGAATCGAGAATTGAAATCGGGATGAGAAAAATAGAATGCCGCGTGCAGGGCTGAGGCGGAAAATCGCTACAAAACGTCAGGCGGTTGGAGTCTCTGGGGCGGAGCATCGAGCCTTTGAGTTTGAAATCTTACCGCCCAGCCAGTGGGCGGGTCCCCGTCTGTGCGCTATGATTGGGTGCCCGCGGTCTGCTAGCTATCCTGCGTGCCGTTTCTATGGCAACGTTGCCCAGTCACAGTAACACGAAATCAATTCTTGATCGTCGGAAACAAAGCCAAGGGCGTAAAGAACCTTTGAATTATGCTTCGCCCCCTCTTTTGTATAATGTTTAATCTCTCTTCCGCAACTATGTGCGTAGTCCTCCCATATCTAGGAGAAGAACTTCTCGAGTGGCTGTGTTAGATTTTATATCTGAGATAGCGCGGGTCGGGTGACATCAAAAGCAGTACTTAGCGGGCCGTCCACATCGCAAGGTCAGACAAAAATTCTCGTACCAAGATGGTTGTATTATTTTGTTATCGTTCTAAACATTATTAAGCCACTAAAATTTTCGATATTAAAAAAAACATTTGATTAAAAACGCTATTCGTTTGTGCTACTGTTATCATCATGCATAATTTGGAAACAAACATGCGCTGCACCGTCTGTCTGTAAAAAATTTTTACTAAGATTATCTTAGTCAACATGGTTCCCGAAAAATCCCGCGGGATATCGCCATGAATCCCGATTTGATGCTTATCCCGTGTACTGTACTGTGTTATCCCGAAAAAAGATTGAAACTGTCTGACAAAACGACAAAATGTAATATACTAGTATCCATGTTAATTGTTATATCATGAGTAATAAACGTAAACAAACGCCCCCCTCCCCCTGCCCCGCACCTACATAATTACAAAGTCGACAATAGTTACGGATGAACACAATTCTGTTTAATTTATTTTCAAAACAGCAACAAGCCTAAATCGCTAAACATACGAGATTCTATCAAGTCAGGAGCTAGTAAATTACTAGAGCTTTATTTTTAGATTTGAGCCGGCTAGTTAATTGCTAGTGTTTTTTTTTTTTTTAGCCGGCGATGACATGCAAAAAGTTAAACAAAGTCTCCCGCGTTCTGTGGAAATCTGCAGTCCTAATTGTGGATATTGAACCCAAAATCCCAATGCAATATTCTCTACTCGAGACTGGTATTCATATGACCGTATTTTACGAAGAAAAATGAAAACTTACCGCTACATTGGTCCACTGATGTCTTCTCGTGTCATACAAGGGCGGATGCCCATATTTGGAAAGCTCGGGTGTTCCGTGCCTAGCGCTAGGGTCAATGACCCGCGGTTATCGAACACGCTGTTCCATTGTTCCATGGTTGTTCGAATGTTCCAAACGCGTTCTTTTTGTTCGATTTTTGGCTTAAAATGCAACTTTTTTCACCCATTTTTTGCCAATAAAATCATTTTCTGACATCTATGTTGGCCAAAATGACCAAGGTTCAATGTCTAACGTACCAACCTACCAGCATGCTGAATTTCATTTTCCTCCAAGCTCTAATTACGAAAATATCTACGATTTTTAGGTGTTTGGAGAAGAGGAGGAGGAGGAAATGAGCAAATATAATATGTTTTCCTTCGGTAAACATAATAAAGGTCTTCATTCCTAAATGAACAGGCACCGTCTCCTCGGGCCAGCCCGGGGTCCTCGCAGGCCATGCTGCGCAGAGGGAGTCTGATGGATGTGGGCCGGCTCAGGCAGGCGGAAAAAACGCAGAGGGACGCCATGAAGGACCCCAACAACTGGCCTATGGAAGCGTGAGTTTGCTGCTGGTCTCTTAAATATATTTTGTAGTAATTGTGTTTTTGAACATCATACAATACACACCATCTACCATACATGCCTCTATTACACAGTACAGGGACAGTTACTTCTTAAGTTGTTGGTCCTTGCTTAGACTTAAAATCTGAAAATGTACAGTAAAAGACACATTCCGAAAACGAAATTAAAAAGTTGAGAAAAGTCTATTGTCTTACTAGTTATATTACAAGTCATTTTGTATATGATATCTTCAACGTAAGGTACCCAAAGACCTCTCCTTTATTCAAAACTTCAGGTACAGAATCTAGAATTTGAACTTCAGAAGCTGTATAAAGAAAGATACATTAAGAGAAAGAAATTGAAGAATCTTCGTGAAAACCTAGTATTTTGTATGTGTATCTAAGTTGCTTAAAGAACCGTCTTTACATTTGCCACAGACTCCAGGTAGAGAACCTAGACGGAGATTCCGAGGTCGGCTGCCTGATCCGCGGGACGTCTGACGTTCTGGACTCCGC